TTCAGTGATAGGAANTTGTGTGTGTGCGTTTTCTGTGTTTGTCTACAGGTAGAGGCCTTGCGACGAGCTGATCACTCGCCCAAGGAGTCCTACCGAATGTGTAAGATCTAGTAAACTGAAGTGAAACGGAGAGTTTCATGGAGGTAGGCCTAGGCCCAAATTTGGGCTGTAGCGCCAAAGAGAAAAAAAAATGACTAAATGGTCAATAAGTGCATTCGCCAATCCAAACCCCGTCTGTATTCACCCCTGAATCGTGATATCATCAGTTGAGACGATAGAGTCTTTCAGTGATAGGAAGTCATATATAATACTAAGAGTTCGCTGATATGATATCACTGTTCCTAACTTGAATGCACCAAAGGAGGATAAAACTAATCATCCGATCATTTGATGTTATATATTCCGAGTTCCTGACAGTGGCGTTAACTAAACCAAGAATTCACAAATAAATATCTTGGAGTAAGATTTGAGGTTTTCACGGCGGTGACTATAAAGAAAGCAGTCTTCTGGGACGTGGCGCGGTGTAGATATTGTGTTAACCGACGTTTCGGAGGAACGTATCGCCTCCATCTTCAGGGTAGAAGAAAAAGAAGAAATCCGCGAGCGAACCAGCGTGAGCAGGTACTAACAGACTGAGTCCAGTCGAGTAAACCCAGCTGTATACGAGCAGGAAGAGAAGGTAGAGGGGATACATGGGAAATCAGTAGAGAGGAGAGGGGAAGGGTTTGGGAAGGTGGGCCAGCAGGTAGCAGGCTAGAGCAGATATAGACTATTGTGTCGGGGGGAGAAAAGGCAAGGTTAATTGGAGGGCACGTTCCTCCGAAACGTCAGTTAACACAATATCTACACGGCGCCACAACCCAGAAGACTGCTTTCTTCAAATATCTTGATGTTTGATATGCTGAAGTCATGAATATCCAGGGTATTTTAATCAACCGTGAATTACTCCTATTGTACTCTAAGTACATAGTGGTCAGTTAACACCAGTAAAAACTAAGGTTAACAATCTAATTTCGTTCGTTAATTATTTTGAATTTTACATTGCCGCATCAACTTCTATGGTTTTATAACTTTAAGTGGTATATATGAGAATGGTTATGAACGACGTGATGGGAGAAATGAGAAAATAAGTCATGTCGCTTATTAAGATAGAGTGCCGGCGTCTTTATGCACACACAGAGGAAACCCGCAAAACTGGAGTAAACATTTACTCTTTTCTTTTACCGAATTCAGCAAAGTGCATAGTGGCAAATTAGACAATTTTTCCCCCTTTGGCGCTACAGCCTCAATTCTGGCCTTGGCCTACCTCCATGAAAATCTCCGCTTCACTTCGGTTTGCTACATCTTAGACCTTCTGTAGAACTCCTTGGGCGGGTGATCAGCTCGTCTCAAGGCCTCTACCTGTACACAAAAACAGAAAAACGCACACGCATACACACACACAAACACTAAACATCCATGCCCTGAGTGGGATTCGAACCCACGATCCCGGCTTCCGAGCGAGCGAAGACAGTGCTCGGCTACCGTGACCGGGCAGCCAACATGTTTGTTCCGCGTTAAGTTAAACGAGCATCTTCTGGAAACATTAGAACAGCCGTTCGTGTCAGCTGTAGCAGTTTCGGAGTGGCTAATTGTATTCTGGATGATGTGACTCTAATCTGCTTCGCGCTTCTGGCGGGACTGATGAGAAACCTGGAGGTCAGGGGTTGATGGAACGACAATTTACTTGCAAATTATCCTTGCCAGGAACTCTCTCTTCAGACTTCAGAGACGTGTGGTAGTTGTGTCAGAGAAAACCAATCAGTGGGGGAGAGAAGCGGGGTTAATTGCTATGCAAGCTTCATACAAAGACGAGTCAAGCAATATGGATCACAGACGCTTGGCATAAACACACTCCTCTAACACATATGTAAAAATTAAGATTTCATTGCTGTGTTCTGTATATTAATGTTGTAACCGGCCTAGTGCGTGGCTCTTTGGAGGGCCAGATTTCGAATTTCGGACGCCACTACAATGTTGTACGCTTAGCTGCATGCCTGTCTACTTCTGGGAACAAGTGGGAACATGTTCGCCAGATGTGGGAGATTTTAATCAGGGGGCTGAAGTTCGAAGAAGTAACATTTGAAGGACATTTATCCTTCTGTCCAGTCATGATATTGTAGCATGTAGACCCGTTGCTAAGTAATGAGTCTGTAAATAACGTCCGTTACTAGGCAACGGATTCCTTACACGCACCAATAGACTGAAAATCTGTGCTATTTACGAGGTCAGTGAGATAGCTTCGTGACACAATATAAAAAATAGTTGGAAGCGATGTTTTCTATGTGGTCCGCTCCGAGGCTATATCATTCGACCGATGTATTTCAGTTTGAGAGGATCGGTTTTTTCTTTTGTGAATATGCTTAGTCTTTATCAAGTGTAGGTATAGCACATACAGCATGCTATTGAAAACTGTTCTTTTGCGCTATATACGAGTCCTCTGCCAGTCCAGGCTTTGGGAAGCAGATCATGCGTATCTTATCTTATCTTATCTTATGCTGCAACAGCAGCTTAGTTACTTGAACAGTCGGAAAATTAACCGCTTCAAGTTTAAGCCTCTTATATTTTCTATGTCTGGCTTCTCCAGCATAGGACAAGGCGAAGCCAGACACAGAAAACATAAGAAATACGGAAGCAGAGGACATTGTTGAAGCCGTTACGAGGCAGTTGGTGAGCAGACTGAGATTTAATGTTTGGTGTAGTGAATTGCAGAGTGCATCCAAACACAAAACTTGATTCAAACCATTTTTAGATTATCTGTTATAAAATCTAGGTGCTTGCAGTGAAAAAATGCATTTACAATTTAATAGCTGTCATTGTGTTTACAGTAAATATACTGCATGTACAATAGTCACTGTTGCTTGCATCTTACAATAAAAGGAAAGTGGAAAGTGCTTTGACCACACAGCGTCAGCCTATGCACAATTCCATGAACCACAAACTCCTGGCTTACAAGCTACGCAGTCCTCTTACGAAGTAACGTCCGACCCTGAACCCAAGATTTCGTGCGAGGATACTGCTGGGTGAACTGAGCATCTACAGTGAACCAAGTAATGAAGTCTACTTATCCCTAGTGGACCCGGTCCAGTGGCGCCCATCTCAGCTAGAAGCACATATACAGACATAAGAAGGAAATGTGGACATTGTAAACTTAGCGAGCAATACGGAGTAATATACAGGGAAACCGCAGACCGGTTGTAGTGTGAACTGGGCTCCTGATGGCTGAGTGCCCAAAGAAGGGCTCTGCTTCACGATAGAGTCATTTATGTTAATGCAAACATGTTACTATACAATCTAATGGGTTAAGAGAGCGAACTGCGCACATTTCATTAGAGAAAACTCCCTAAATGCATTGTACAGGGTCTTAATTGCCCACAGATTTGATGGTCAGAAATTCACTGCCTTCCACGAACCAAAAAGGTTATTGTCGTGATCAAAACCAGAATTTTACCCATGTTTGAATGACAGGGCACACACACACACACAT